TCTCACCCCCCTCACTCACACCCTATGAAAATGTACTTCCTATATATCTATTGCTATTCCAGCTCTTTTGTACATAATTGATACTGTTTTCATTCCTATTGTTTTGTTTCATGAGAAATGGAATTTTTTTGATGGTTGTATGAAGTGCCCATTGCATTAACAGATTAATGTTTTGCAAGATTTGCTTTCTTGTAGTCTGCCATAGGTGATGGAGTATGGTACATGTAATAAAACAGACGTATGTGAAAATGATACTAATACTGGTATATACTGTATTTTAGTTTGTTGTACACGCACGCACTCACACGCATGCATGCAGGCATGTACGCACACAAGCAAGCAAGCACTCATGCACACATGCACCCATGCATGCATTTATGGATGTTCTGAAATACTTAAGGATATGCTTTTATGCTTGCTCATTTAACCCCTACATTGATGTTAGGTTACTAATGTTTATTTTTCTATTTTAAAAGAAAATTGTTTATTGAAAGGTCATTGATGCACTAGAGTTCATACCAGTAGCTCTGAGGTTTGTTTCTTATAACAGGCCTGCAGAATATATAGATGATCTAGAGTGTCAGTAGACATTCTAGAACTTTTAAAGGTTGAGGAACTTCCTGACATTTCCTGTTATTGTGGCTTTTCTTGTTTTTTCCTTTTCTCTTTCTCTTCTTTTGTCAATTCCACTAATTTCTTCTCTTCAATCTCAACCTCCTTCGCCTCCCCCCCATCCTCCTCCACCTCCTCCTCTTCTCCTCCTCCTCCACCTCCTCCTCTTCTCCCTCCTCCACCTCCTCCTCTTCTCCCTCCTCCACCTCCTCCTCTTCTCCCTCCCACCTCCTCCTCTTCTCCTCCTCCACCTCCTCTTCTCCCTCCGTCACTTCCTCCTCCCTGCTGCATGCTACACCCCACGCTAACGTAAATATATGAAAACGTTTAGTGTATGATGCTGTGCCTTAGAAGTGAAGCCAAACTTTTTTATATTTCAGTTATTGGTTCAGTATACACAAGCAGTAGACTTGCCTCCTGATGAGACGTGCTCCATCTGCATGTGGAGCTTGCAAGAATCCTCTGGTTATTCTGATGATGAAAATGAAGGTGCTGGTAATGGAATGCACTTAGGAGGTAAGATATGGTAACAGGATACATCCTTAGAATCCATTTTATCTCAGGAAACCCGGAAATTCTTTCATCTTAGTTTTGTACGTTAACTTAGTGTGTGTAGTAAGATTAAAGTTGACTATTTAGTTATTAAGACATGCTGTGGTCTGTAAGGTCTTTTACTGCCTTGAGGATATTTACCGTATCAGTATAGCCTCCACACTTTTACATCAAATGCAGGAATTTTTAAAGTGAGATAAAACACTGCATCAATCCCCGAAGAAATATCTTTTCTGATTCTCCTCAAATTATTTGCATTTTGGAATTGTATTTCAGAATTATTTCAAATGTTGGTTTATGTGTAACGCATGGTATTGAAATATCTGATTGTTTATAATTCATTTAATTTTATTAATACAAAAATCAAATTACAAACCGATAGCACAGTAGTATATTGGGACATTGGCACAAAAAATACATTAGTCTCGGCTTTTAATAGTGAACATTTCTTGCAGGTGCAATGAGATACAGAGTTGTAAGCCTGATTTTATGCGGCCACTTGTTCCACCAAGCTTGTATCAGAGAGATGGCAAAATCATCACCCCATTTCTTGGAGTGTCCCAATTGCAAGACGCTGCATGGAGAGAAGTTGGGAAATCAGCCGGATGGTAAGATGTCGGTTATATAGTGCAGCGATCTCTCCCTGGACACCGGATTGCAATACGATACAGATCACGTACAAGTAAGTTCTGTCTTTTTATTTTGTTTTTTGTGTGAATTTTTTTGTTTTAGTTTAGTTTCATTCAGTTTAGTTTAGTTTAGTTTTCATTTTAGCTTTTTGTTTTATTTATTTTTTCTTCTAGTCCAGACCTGGCCAACCTACAGCATGCGGGCCACATCCGGCCCTTTGTGCATCAGGGACTAAATATATAAATTTAATAAATATATAATTTAGTAAATATATATATTTAGTAAATATATATATTTAGTAAATATATATATTTAGTAAATATATATATTTAGTAAATATATAATTTATTAAGTATATAATGCACTAAATATATAATTTAGTGCATTTTACAATGGAAGAAAGTTGAGCAGAATTAAGTTCAATTTATCATTGGTGTGGCCCTCTGACACAATTCAGGTTTCGCATGTGGCGAAGGTTTCGCATGATTTATTGAAGTTTGATTTTGGTTTGTCTTGTTTGGTTTTATTTTTATTTCTGTTGATTCTGGTTTTGTTTTGATTTTGATTTTGAATTATTTATTATACATTTTATATATATTTAAATTTCATTTTTATTTTCCCTTTTTTATTATTTTATTATTATTTAGATTTTGCATATAATTCTTTTTCAATTTATTAAGTGCATTCTCAATCTAATTTGAGATTTTACTAGATTTTTATTTTGAATTTTATATATTAATTTGAATGTTATCTGTTTTCTAAATTTTTCTTTTGCTTTGATTTTGATATAGATTTTGAATTTATTTTTATTTTATTTTTTGTCTTTTTTCTGTTTAGTTTTTTATTTATTCTTTAAGAATATATTTTTTATTATTCCTATTAGAAAAGGAGATGGATCAGGTCTTAATGGTGCTTAATTTTGGTTATGAAAAGTGGTGATACTAAACAGTTTGATTCCATAGAATGATATAGATAGATATATCAAAATGATAAGAGTCAGTTATATATATGTATTTACATGTATTTATATATGTATGTGTATATAAATAAATATATATATGTTTACATATATGTAAGGTGGAATGGATAATTGTAGAAAACATGGAAAAGTAGGTTATGATATTTATAATCAATTTGTAATTAATCGCAGCATCCAAAGTGGGATACAAGGACCAGAGCATCCTCATCCGGGGCTACCTTATAAGGCAATCGGTTTCCCTCGGACAGCTTACCTTCCAAATAATGCAAAAGGAAAGAAGGTAAATAAGATACCTTGTTTGACACATATCACTTTCAGAAGCAGGAGTACAAAATAATAAGATATAATTGGCAATCTGTAACTGCATTCATATAATATTACAGGTATTAAGTCTCTTGAGGGAAGCTTGGCAGCGACGGCTGATCTTCACAGTTGGGACATCGGTAACCACAGGCACTCAAGATGCCGTCACCTGGAATGAGATTCACCACAAAACTGAGTGGAATAACAATACAGGCCATGGGTATCCAGACCCTAACTACCTAGACAACATTCTCCGAGAACTGGCTGCTCATGGTGTTACTGAGACAACACTTGTTTGAAGGGGAGAGCTTCAAAGAGAAAGAAAAAATGTGTGTGTGTGTGGGGGGGGTGTTCACAGTTAACTATATCCTGAAATGTACAGGGAAACACAGGCACAATTCAAGAAATTGTGTAACTTTGTTTAGAAGATGGTGGATTTTAAGCTCTGATGTCGAAGCGTTTGACTATGGATATTGCATATGCAGTGATATATTTTGGATTAGTAAAGCCTGCAGGTAATGTGTGGGTAGTAATTCTTATTTATCTTGTTTATTAAAAAATAAACTTGGTTCATTAAATCAATGAAACTGTAAATGAGAAGATTTTACCTGGCTTCAGTCTGTGAAGCAACTGATTCAATTCTATCAAAATCTTATTTTCAAATTAGGTATGTTAAGTACAATAAATGGTGCTGATAGCAGTATGTATTAAGTGGTAAGAAATTTATTTGAAATCCTGATAATCTATATAGATTTATTGGCTAATATTCCAGGTGTCAGGTGAAAATGACACAAGATTATCATGCAACTTGAAAGATAGGCCTTTTTTGTATGGAAATGTATAATGAATACTTTTTATGAGACTTTCCCTTTGCATACCAAATACTTTGGGTAGATTTTACATAGTTGATGTAAAATATCTAAACCCTGTGGTGTATAGAATTCATTTAAAAGATATATAACTTTCCAGCCTGAATTATGTAAATGCATCCTTTTTAAAGAAAAAAAAATTGTGCTGCCATGACTGCAAACAATTTTTTTTTTCAATCAAATAAATGCCATGATTGTTTTATTTTAGTAATTTGCTGAAAATATTTTTGTGATGACTTTTATTTATGACAGGAAAATAGGGACCTCTGGTTCTTTGTAGCAGCAAAAGGGTTAATGCACCTCATCAATGCATTCACCTAATACATCAAATATGTGTTTAGAAAAGGGAAATAAAATCTGTGTTGATTTAGTGCCTTGAGTGCAAAAGGTGTATCTTAAAGATTCACGTACATATTTTTTAATAAAATTTCACTTTGATTTGTTGTTGAAGATGTTAGGTAATATTTTTTTTGTTCCTTCTTTGTTCAAAACTGGTATAAAAGGGATGTAAAAGTTTTGAACTGATGTGTTAAAAGTAGATGTGATTGCATTTTGTAAAACACTTTTGTTAGATATGAGAAATTGCTTCAAATATGTTTATACTGGAATTCTAGGAAATATTGGGAATAGTGTAAGAATTGTTGAATAATACTGAAAGACATGATTTTATATAGGAGAATTATAATGCCAAATACTGGTCTGTTTAAGTGATACTTTTTACATTTTTATTGTTCTTTAATCTTAAGTCCTGTTACAATATGGAGTGTAACGCAATGCATGATTATTATTGCTTAATTGAATGTGCATATATATAATTTCTTTTATATTAAAGTGTTCCAGTTTCTATTGAGATAGATATTGGACGAATTTTAGCTAGAGTGAATGTGTAATAATTTCAGGATTTTTTTCCATGTTAAAAGAGGTTTGATGAAGAAGCGTATGGTCATGTACAGTGATGTAACTTGTTTGTATCAAACATTTTATTCAATATTTGAATGAAAAGAATACAGTTGATTTTGAAAACACATTTCTTTATGAATCAGATTCTGTTGTGGTAGTGAAAGTGAACTTTCCAATTCAACAATGGTAGTGTTTAGTTTCTTATGAGAATTACATATTTTCTAATGTTAACTGGAAGAGCTACTCTTTACTAGAGTCATTATGACTTTCTTGTTTTTTTAAAGCACAAAAATATATATTTGTGAATATTGTATTACCTTTTAATTGTACCTATAGAAGATGATTTTAGCAGCGTATCACCTCATTAGTTCTCAAGTAGGACAACCACAAAGGAATTTAGTGACCAATTTTACACGATATGTACCATAACTGCAAAAGTGTTTCTGCTTAAACTTGCTTTATGTATGACCTTCATGACCCTGTTAAACTTCTATTGTATGCTAATTATTGTTTCTTAACCTCAGTCCACCCTGCACTTTTTTTTACATTTCATGACTTGGTATTTACTTATTTTAACTTATTTGATCAACACTGTTTGCAAGTTTATATTTCCTGATATTAAAGATCTATGGTAACATGCAAATGACCATCGTGTCGCTCACTACTTGTCCTTTAGAGAACTATGCTAAAGGTTCCTGGTATATTTTTACTTCTTATTGAGGCAGATATGCTTGACAGGTAGTTGGTGACTAGGGTCCGACTGACAATAGTGATAATGTTAATCATTTCACATTTGACAGATTATTGATGATAATTTTTTGAAGTAATAATGTTCTCCATATATGTTGCATTCAGTCAATAATCATTTACTACATTTTTTGTCTTGAAAAAGATATAATATTCACTTAACCTATAACAGATATGTGTCCCCTCACAAACCAATGATATTATGGCCATAAATAGTATATCTAATGGTTTGGGTAACATTTCAGGTGTAACATGTGTCCATTTATAGTGTTCTTACAACCTGTGAAATAATATCCTTACCTTCATTGTGAAGTACCTTAACTGCTAGACAGCTATACAATTGTAAACAACTAGTCACTTCTTCAGGTTTGCCAAGTTACAGTAAGGTCAAATTGTTTCAGGCTTAACTGACCGTGGATATGCATGTTACTAAAATATCACAGGAGTGTTTTTTATGTGGTTGAAAATGTATGTGTGACTAAGCACATATATATATATATATATATATATATATATATATATATATATATAATATATATATATATGTATGTATATATGTATGTATTATATATTATAATATATGTATATATATATGTATATATATATGTATATATATATATGTATATATATATGTATATATATATTATATATATATATATATATATTATATATATATATATATATATGTTATAATATATGTAATATATGTATATATATATATGTATATATATAATATATATTATTTATATATATATAATTATTATATATATAATATATTATTATATATGTATATATATATATACATATATACATAAATACATATATTTCATATGAAAAAACACTATGAATACTGACATATAGAAAAGTCTAACGATAATTATCTTGATATGCAAAATTTGGTTTCAGAAAGTTTAATCTCCACTGCATTCCTTTTCCAACATGACTATATTCAGGATTCCTTTAGTTCTCTAGTTTGTACAGAACTAGAGAATTAAAGGCACTTGTGAGGCACTGTAACTTTTCTTAATTTTTCAATGGATGCAGTGATGAAGATTATTATATATTATTAATATCAAATTCATGGTTTCTCCCCTTAAGTTTTCTATGTTTAGTTGCTGATTTCCTCTTTATCCTACGGATTACTGCGGTTCACTGATCATGGTGAATATTTCGTTTTGTGGTAAATATTGAATACTTTTTGGCAACTCATCCGGACATTATTGGGAAAACGTGACTTCGGTTTGTAATAGTAATTTTATTAGTAATAAACAAATATACAAATAAGTAACAATAAATATATAACATACAATAATATATATATAGATTTTTGGACATAATCAGCTCATTTGTATGAGCTTGAATTGTAGACATGATGTCTGCCTTGGTGTCACAGTCGTATCTATTGTCGTAGTTAGCACTGTACCACTGTAACTACCATTGCTGAAGCCGCCTTGGTAATGGCTGAAGTCAGTGCTGCCTGTTGTGCCGAGAGGTCCGTATCCATGCTGGTAGGCATGCTATCCTGCTGTTGATAGAGAGAGTTTGCGTGGAATGAGCGGAGTACTGGGCTGGTGTGAGGCCGTATCCGCCGTACTGAGGCTGCTGGTCGAAGGAGTCGCTGAAGCTGACGTCGTCCATGGGACTTCCGGGAGGGCTGTCGGAGTCCGAGTCGGACTGGAGGGTGTCCTGCAGGTCGCTGATGTAGTCGATGACGTGCTCGATGAGCTCCTGTCTGGACACCTTGCGGTTTTTGGGACACTGAAGGCACCATGGCCTTGAGTCTGTCGAGGTAGAGGTGCATCTGCGTCTTGTCGGAGCCCACGCTGGACTTCGCGGAGAGGGCGGCTGCCATGGCGGCCTATGGCTCCGTTTGAGGCAGTTCATCCTGTTCTCAGTCAGTGATGTATG